ATAAGTTCATCCTGTTACTTACAATTCAACACACCCTCCTTTGTTCGCCCTCACCCACCAGCTGTTTGGCATTGTGTGTGCACGTCTGTCTCTGAGGGAAGACACAGGAGTCGAGGTCAAATTAGGAGCCAAGAGAAGAATTTCCTTCCGAATGTCTTGGGCAGGTGCAGGGAGCTCAGGCAAACCGTTTCCTCCCTTGTCGTAAGGCGGAAAATATGTTAGCGGACGGCTCGCTCACACATGTGGGTTTCTCCGAGCGTTGAGTGTTGATTAGTGCTAGCGTGAGAGAGATGGATTGCAGGGCTTGACATTACTTCATTTTTTACCCGCGTATTTTAAATCACATCACCTACCGCAGGCTATAGTGTCTATTTCACACACAAGCTCAAAGACATTTGTTCATTCTCAAACAGGCCTGTGTTCTCCATCGCATATTATAAATGTGAATTCAAAGACACTTTGACCTGCAGTTGTTCAAATAAGCACATGTGCTGCTATAACACACACACAAACATGACCTTTAGCATACAGTGCTTCCATCTCTTACCCGTACACACGATCTCAAACATGTGCTTATTCATACACTCCCTCACACATGCATAATTATGGACACTTACACACATCTGGTCATCTTACACATACTCACTCGTTGCTCACTCAGCTGTAACCCTAAGCCTCTGGGCTTACATGAGGTCACTGGATCACGGGGTCAGTAGTAGGGTACGGCTGTAGCAAGTCGCTCACGCTAGAGTTCGTGTCCGTCCCGGCTGGGATGCAGCATTGTGTGTAAACCTGCTTTAATCCTCAGCTGCCAGAACACAGTCTATAACCCACGGCATTTCTCATTATGGCTAATCTAGCACGCTAACTTCAGCTCGAAGCCCATTGTATTTATCTCACGGTATAGTGAGCATGAGGTATGTGTTATATATTCCAGTATAAATGGGGTATACATCATATATTGTAGTGTAAATGATAAAAAATGTCCCTAATGGGAGTCTATAATTTTAGTCTATATCAAATCTTCTTGTGTAAACATGGTATATATTATATATTGTTGATCAAATTGGCTATGTACCATATAAATTTCAGTATTTATCAAATATTCTAGTGTAAACAGTAGGCTATATATATATATTCATTACATGATTTATACCATATATTTATGCATTTTTGAGGTATATATAAACTATCATGTATTATATCAAGTAATAACGATCTGGTTTTAATCAGAGGTATATTTTTAGTGTATTAATAGTATATATCAAATATGTAAATGGGCTTTATATCAAAGTTGTTTTTAAATCATATATTCTAGTGTAAATGGGCTATGTGTCAAAGTGCAGTGTATATGAATTAGGCTTTATATGATATATTATAGTGTATTTGCAGTATAAATGAAATGGGCAGATGGACTTTATATCATATTCTAGTGTAAATTTTATGATATTATGCAGGGATATGCAGGGTAAATGTCATATTATAGTGTATGAGGTATATATCTCATGCTGTTGACTAAATGGTCTATACAGGTGCATCTCAATAAATTAGAATGTCGTGGAAAAGTCAGTCTATGTGTATTGAATTTATTTAATACACGAGTTTCACAATTTGAGTTGAATTACTGAAATAAATGAACTTTTCCACGACATTCTAATTTATTGAGATGCACCTGTATATCATATATTGTAGTGTTTTTGAGGGTTACATATGTAAATGACTTTATATCATATTGTATATTCTAGACTAAACTGTTTGTCTTATATTCAAGTCTAAATTATATGTACAGCATTATAGAATGCATGTATCATATATTCTACTGTATTTGATGTATAAATGTCATATAAATTAAGGTGTAAACATGTAAGATTCTCTAGTATACACAAGGTAGTGAGTTTTATACAGTATATCATATTCTAGTATATTGTGTGTACTCTAGTGTAAGTGGGGTATCTATATTTAATATATCTTATTTATTAAGTCAAAGTGATTTGTAGATGAAGTTCAGTTCCCCTTTATGAGGAAGTTGGTGGAAATTGGAAAATTAGGCCCTTATTCATTTTGTTTTATGAGCAGACAGTTGTTTTAATCTGAGATTCATTGGCGCACATTTATAAAACTTAAAGTCCAGCTACTAGAAACATTTCTAATGGCTTTAAAAAATGAACAGTGAATAATTAAGGATTCATACCCTGAGATTTCATAGATGTTAATTGCTGTTAAATCCACCTGCAATTATTAACTATTAGTTCTCTGTAAACATATTATTACTCTTTATAGAAGCATTTGTGTTATGAGTGCTATCGATACAGTCACTCTGAAAGCAAAATTAAACATTAGTAATATTAACCTGGAGTCTTGAGTCTGGCTATGTTTGGCCCTTATCTGTCTCCAGCCTTTAAACGAACCCACACACACTGTTTAGGCTCAAGACTGCAGTATTTCTGTTTCAGTTGTTCTTGGGTGGTCAGAGCTGACAGACACACTACACACACACACACACACACACACACACACACACACTCACCTCACAGTACAGTGCACAGTCTACACACACCCACACGCTTCTGTGTTTGTAACTAACTTTGGCAGGTGAAATAGTGAATGGACTGCAGTCATGCTTTAGAGTGAACTATATTAAACATCAAATCAAATGCTGCACGCATGAAACCTTCACACACATGTTGTGCAGTGCAGGTTTTGACATAAAGGTTGCCTGCTACCCCTTGTTAGTTTTTTACAGGGATGGATCGTAGACAGATGCAACATTTGGATAAGTAATGTAGGCTGTAACCCTGAAAACATTAAGAATGCAAATGCATACTGCCGTTTTTTCCTTCCATATAGCATCCATTACCCTTCAATCTGCAGATGCCCTCCATTTATTCATGTAGTTTTGTAAAGACCCCTGCTTTAGGCTCTCATTTATTAATTTCTTTGGTCCTCCTGTAGCCGCAGCTTTTATCTTGTTTGGCTTAATTTCCCTGACTGCCTACGAAAGACTCTTTCGTTTTTTTTATTTATTATTTGCAAATGACACGACTCCTTTGAAAATGGTAAGTAGTGCAATCATTTTTCTGCGAATAGCAGAGATTGGCTCCCTGTAAGTGAATGTAAATGTTTATTTTGAAGGAAGTTTACACATTAAGTATTCCAGTTTTGGGGTTTGAATGCTGTTTACCTTCTGTACCAGATCAAAACTGTCCGCATCAGTGTTCCCTGCTAAAGTGCATGTGTTGTGTTTTGGATGTGAATCCAACCTGTTAAAAAAAAAGACCAAATTGCATGTTTTTTTTGTATTATTTCAAGGCCAAATCTGAAGCTATACATGAAGAACTGACCGAAACCCAACGGTTAGATCCTGTCGAGTTCACTAGCTTGGGCTGATGGTGCTCTGGTTTCCTTGCAAGGCTTCTTAACTAGCTTAACCAGCAAGACTTCTTTAGTAAACCAACTTCAGAAGAACCATGCTGGTCGTCAGGTTGTGCTACAGAGCAGCATGGCTATGTTGACCATGAAAATTGCCATCATTTACTCACCCTCATGTTGTTCCACACCCATATGCTGTTTTATTTATGCCAGAGAATTTTAAAACCCTAACCACATCCATCAATCTCAAAAACATCATTAAAACACTGTAAGACTTATATTTGAATATATTTGTGACTATATATTTCCTTACAACTCTATTTCAAGTCTTCTAAAGTCATATGACAGCTTTGAGATGAACAGATGAAAATGTTGAAAATTCACTGAAAATATTTTTTTCTCAAATCAAATATATCACCAAAAATGAGGCGTGATTTTCATTCATTGCTGTATGACTTATCTGAAGTCAAATGATGAAGTTAGCGTAAAGATGTCTTGAAATAACCTTTATGGAATTTTTGGAGCTTGAAGAAATTGTTCTCGTTTCAAAATGTATCGTTTTATATTTTCAGTGGGAAAAAATGACAAAAGTTACACTCTTAAAAATCAAGGTTCTTTATTGGTATCTATGGTTCCATGAAGAACATTTAACATCCATGGATCTTTTTCATTGGACAAAAGGATCTTTGGAATTTTTTAAAGGGATAGTTCACCCAAAAAGGAATATTCTGTCATTTATTACTCACCCTCATGTCATTCCAAGCCCATAAGACCTTCATTCATCTTCGGAACACAAATTAAGATATTTTTGTTGGAGATTTCTGTCCCTGCATAGACAACGAAACCACCACATTAAAGGCCCAGAAACGTAGTAAGGACATCGTTGACATCAGTGGTTCAACCATAACTTTATGAAGCTTTGAGAATATGTCTTGTGCACAAAGAAAACAAAAATGACAAGTTTATTCAACAATTTCTTCTCTTCCCTGTCAGTCTTCAACACGGAGAAGAATTGTTGACTAAAGTTGTCATTTTTGTTTTCTTTGCGCACAAAACTTATTCTTGTAGCTTCAGAAAATTACAGTTGAACCACTGATGTCACATGGGCTATTTTACCGATATCCTTGCTACCTTCTTGGGCTTTGAATGTGTCAGTTGCATTAATGTCTATACAGGGTCACAAAAGCTCTCGGATTTCATCAAAAATATCTTCATTTGTGTTCCGAATATGAACAAAGGTCTTATGGGTTCGGAACAACATGAGGGTGAATGTTCATTTTTGGGTGAACTATCCCTTTAAATGTTCTTCATACAAGAAGCTTTATTTTTGGTGCCTCGTTTGGCATGGAATAAGGTGTCGGAACAACATGAGGGTGAATGTTCATTTTTGGGTGAACTATCCCTTTAAATGTTCTTCATACTAAGAAAAAAATGGTTCTTTTAAGAACTGTTCACTGAAAGGTTCTTTGATGAACCAAAAATGGTTCTTCGATGGCATTGCTGTGAAAAACCCTCGTTTAGAAGAGTGTATGGAACAACATCATGGGCAAATAATGAAAGATCTCTTATATTTGACTGAACTATTCCTAGCCTTACTAGTTGCTTCATTATCTGTGGTATTGGTTTTCCAGGAGGATGCCAGTGGAGGACTACTCGAACCAGAACTGGGCCAACCAGAGAGACCCCGTCCATTACTCCAACCCCATCTACGAGACCCATCAAGACAACTATCCTCCACGCTCTCACCGGTTGCCCGTACCCAGACCCACGGAGGCCACAGGTGGTTACTATCCCTCATCTCCAGCTCAACAGAGGGGTCCCGTGAGGCAGGACGTCCCTCCCTCATCGAACCCCCTGGGTGCCAGAGCACCACCGCGATACGAAACGCTGAACCAGGGGAACTATCGGACGGCCAGCCCTGATCGCTACGGCCCATACGGAGATGAACAATGCCAAGATCCCCGGCAGAAAAAGTCAATGATTGGAGCTGTCTAGACGAGGCTGGTGCTGAAAAAGTTATGTGGTTATGTAATTGTGTCCATTTACAAGAACAATCTAATTAGCTTTCCTAGACTTATGAGAAGAAAAAGCAAACCAAATTGCTTTGACACAGCCATCGATTACTCCAAATTGAACTAGTTCAGTGAAGTTTGTGATTTGTTTCGGATGCCAGCCATTTTTCCTCTTAATTAGCATCAGTTCGGAACATCAAGGCGATTTTACACCAGAGTCAGTTACGTTTAAAAGTTACAGCTTACAGAAGCACATAGGGTTTGTATGTATGTATGTTTAGCATGTATTTAATTCGGTATACCACACAAATGTTTAATATGATGATCTGCTTTGGATAGTATGGCCATTTCTTCCCCTCATGTGTAATGCATTGAAGATGTGATTGGTATGAAGTTTTTAAATGTGAAGAAATTCACCATCAGTTTACTTTTTTGTGCTTATAAGAAATGTTTTTCAGAATTTGATTGCCTTTGCAGTAACTTTGTCCCCCTAAAACACTCCATTAACTTTTTACTCGGTGAATCAATCCTAAAGTGTTTTTTCATGCGATGTTTTGAGGGTAATATTCTCTTTCAACCACCTCCCTCCTTGATTGATTTTAATAAAGCCATGCTAAGGCCCAAAAACACCAAAACGGACAAGGTTACACAAATAGCTGATCCGATATCAAAGTCTCAAACTGTTTTGGGCTTTTGTTGTCACGTCTTGTCTTTTATATTAGGTAGAGGTTTTTACATTCCTGGTATTTTTTTTCCCTTTCAGCCTTTTTATGGTAGTTCTGCGATGTGAGATGCTGCCCCATAGCTGCAAACGCTCTATACACAGGGCTCTTGTAGTGAACAATCATTGTTGTTGGATCACTGCTTTAAAAGCAAGACTTCCTGATGTCCTTGGTGTGTAAAATTATCTGTTTATTATAGATAGGAGATATATTGCCAGTCAAAACAGGATCTTACAAGAACCAGCAAACATTGAATTTTTGCACCCAATTTATGTTGAGATTTTTTGCACATTTATCGCCTGAATGAAGTGCGGAAATGAAGGTTTATAGGAAAATGGCTGGATAGATACTGAGAGAAGTTTTGTGTATTTAACGTTTTACACATGCTACTCTATTAACTTGAAATAGTTGCATGAATAATCAGTTGGTGTTATGTCTGTCTTATTGAAAAGTTGATTTTAATTTCTATATTTGTATATCACATTTTTCATTCAATGTTTATGGAAAATCTACTCTCTTGCTTGGATTTTTTATTTAATCTTTTTATACTTGTTTTCTTTATTTTATTTTTATTTTGTCAATTTTATTTTGAAACCTAACAAAAGAGACAAAATGTTGTGTAATTTTCTGTATTTTGCTGTTTATGATTGTTTGTTTATTTGTTTTTTTGCTCTCTTATATTTTTATGAAAATCAAAATGCTGGTCTACATAATTTGTGAAATCAAATTACATGGATGATTATAATTTTTGTTGTTGTTTTGATACCTTATTCTTGTTGTTTTATTTTTTAAAGAAGAAAAAAAAGAAATGTGTGTGCTTCCATTACACATGCCATAACCAAAAATGAATAGGCCTACATTTTGGAGTAAATAAAATGTTAATGACATTAATTCTTATTAACTATGACATTTTGGTACCTTTTTTATTTGAAATGAAACTGTGTAAGTTTGTGTGTAAATAAAGTAGTGTGTTGGTTCAGGTTGATGGTGACTTCAGTCATGTGAAGCTGTTTGGTGTTCATTGTGTCTTGTACAGTCTTATAGCTTCATACTCATAATGATGACTGAGAGAACATACTTATCTAACATTACTGATAATTACTCCTGATGATTAGTGCTAATTCACCCTCTACCAATGAAGCTACGGAGGGCTGTGCCGAAGTTATTAGGGCCTAATGGACCTATTTGGGGAATTTTGCTGATTAGGAAATTTGGCATTAAAGTGTTTGCATGTATCTGGACAGAAATGCAGTTTAATTAACCCGTGGATGACAAGAGCGAGAGATGTTAGGTGGGGATAAATGAATCGTGAGAGCACTGTCGAACAAAAGGTTGATAAAATTTGAAAAGAGAGATAATAACTGTGATGTCAGTTTAATCTTCATTATTTAGGAGAAGACCACCAGCCACGGATATCAATGAGCTGCAGTGCATTTTAAAGGGACAGCATTTTCTTGCTCCAACTGCATTTATCTGCTCTTTTAATATATACTACATATTAATATACTTTGTAGACTTATGCTAAATTGCTTTAAAATGGTTAAGAAAATAGCTTTTGCAGGCCCAATTATCAACAGAAAATGTATTAAACCGTCTTAACCCTATATATATATACAAAATAAAAGTTTTTGTTTACATAATATATGTGTATACAGGTTAAAGCTTCGAGCTTTAGTTATTTTAGTACTTAACATTAACTACAATAAAATCTAAAATATAATTACAATGTAGACTGTGTAGACTGTCAAAAAACATTATTTCAGTTAGTTTCATTTTATTATTATAATTACTATTTTATTATTATTATTATTATTTAATGGTTTGAGAAAATAATAGTCCTGATATGGGTGTGTATAATGTATGTATGTAGCTTATGGCCCCTTTATTCAAGTTCAGTACATTAAAGTGTTAAATATGATGCTGAGACTTATTATTTCTGAGGTATTGGACCTCTCATTATAACACGTTTATTTAATATACTAATGATGATGTACCATTCCCAACAGGATTGGTAATGGCCTCAAAGCTCCCGATGACCTCACTATGAAAATGAAATGCACATTTCATCCCTCTGTCATCTTGTCCTTCACAGTCATCACTCGTTTATTTCAATTATGTCCGCTCCTTTCATTGGCGAATCTCGTACCCGAGCTATTCTTGCCAGTTGAGTGGATTTTGCTCATTTCATTAAGCTGCCATTATAAGAGACTCTAGTGAGACGTTATCAGCGGAGCCTCAGAAGAGACCAGCTAGAGTGTTTGGAAGAGGAAAGCACTGACCTGCCCTTCACCTGCCTTAAATATTGCATGTAAGTCAGTCACGACTACGTCATGTAATTGCTAAGAGCACACCTGTTTTATAGCAAACATGAAGACATCTGGCCTGCTTTTGACCCGTTTGCTGAACATCTCCATTCCTTCTGCAATTCTGCCATTGTCCAAGTACTGTTTAATCTTGAGTATTATACAGTATAAACATGCTCAAATAAGTAACTGTTCTTGCATCCTTTTCCCCCAGACACCCAGAATTCACTGGAATTAGCCTCCAGATTCATACAGTAAGTTAAGTTCCATATTTTATGAATGGCCAAGCAGGAAATATATGAAATCTGTGTGTGTGTGTGTGTGTGTGTGTGCATG